GCAGCCATGCACAAAGACGACAAAAGGGATTGGTTTGGTCCATCAAGCCTGACTCGTGCCTTTAAACGTCTCGATGCCGCAAGGATGTGCCCGGTGAATACTCCTGTGTGCTGGTCACAATCTAGTGATTACGATAGTACCTGCGTTTTAGTGCCCACACCAAGTGGAGAGTCTGACAATAAATGAAGAGAACGGCCTTCGTTGGACGCTACGGGATAAGCCACGCATTTGACGAATGTTCATTATCATGGAGCAGTTGGATCGTATTTTCGGCCAATGTAATGGGCTGGGCAAGTAACAGCGACCCCATCTCCGTCTGAAGGGAATCTCTCCATAAGCTTGTTTAGAAAGGAGCTGCGCTCTACGCTGGAAAGGCAGCAAAATACACCAGTATCCGTTTTTCGCGATGTCTTCTATTCTCCATTTTGGTTTCATTGTTACTGTTTAAATAAACTTCATGGAAGTCGCTTACTTCGAAAAATCATCTCTTTGTGTTAGAAAACGCTAATTTAATTTAAATGATAAAACCAAAATGTTATGAGTAATCTTCTGTTTCAGCATATCCACCCTTGCGATGTTAGACGAGTTGGGACGACTATGAACCTTTTCGCATTTTTATCGTTGCTCTTCGCGTCTGCAGTCGATGCACAAAAGCTCGTCTTAATAATCGGTCAGAGTTTTTAGGTGATTATACTCCTGAAAATCTTACTCCATTCTGATCAAGAATTCCCTTAAAATAATTGAGTGACAAAGCAGACACCTAGCTGCAACACCTAAACATGAAGGGGAAGAGGGAAAGATGTGTGGGCTCGGTTCTCCTGTTTCTTCAGAGTCCTAGTTTCGCATATTTTCATAGGAACTTTTAGTTATTCACCTCTAGCCATAACTTTGTTTACTAAACTTGATAATGAATTTTTAGCCGATGGCCTTAGTGGGACACACTATCACCGCTTTTCGTTTTTGTCGGGTCTACGACTCTTCGAAGAGGAAGGTGTCTGGTCAACTCGTCTATTTCCCGTTTTTCCCACTCTCCCGCTACCGAATCGACATACACTTCTAACGGGTACGTTGCATTTTATAAGAGATCAGTGACGAAGTGCAGGAATGATTTTTTGTACGACATTTTGTTCAAGGTGTGCTCCCACGCAAGCACGGTATGGTTGGCGACTACGTGCTGCATTGGAGAACAGGACAAAGCTTCATGAACTTCACTGTTGAATCCGACTTTCAGCAAAGGTGCGCAGTGGTGTAGAATGTGCACTACAACTCTATACATTTCGGCTTGTTTTTGTTTGTTTGTTTGTTCAAAATTCGATTCGATTCAAAAGGTTAAAAAATCAACACATTCTATTTCAGCGACTGGTGGACCATAGACCCTGTATATGTCACAGCAACGAGGGCAAAAGCATCGGTCGCTATGTTTTTCTTTCCAGAATGCAAGGTGCGTTACATATATTTAATTGTTTACCGATTTGTTCCCGACAACTGCTGGTAGCTCCCTTTCCTGCAATGCTTTACACCTTCCGCTGTGCTCCTTTCTACTTGTGACACCTCGTGAAGGGTAAAAGGCAATGAAAAAGCAAATAATATCACTATCGCTGCAGTGAACGCCAAAATCATTTTTTTGCTGAAGTTTAAAATAACATATTTCAATGGGCTTGTAGTTTTGTGTTCACTTCTACGACTCTTTAGTTACATGTATTGATAATAAACGAAGAAGAAGACAAAGAATAAATCGGATGGAATATTTGTCAGGCATAGCAAAAATTGCTCACTGAACATATCAAGTCGGTTTGTAAACTACGGTGTTGACAATGCTGTTAACAAATTGACGACAGCGTGCACCGCATGCGCTTCACATCCACATTCTTTATTTTCTCACCCATGGCCTCTGTCGCGCCGTGGGCAGGCCTGCTTCCCATCCGCATCGGTGTCGCCCCGGTGCGGGGGTACGACGGGACTAAACCACGCTCGCCTCGCTCAACCTGCCACGGGGAAAGTTATTAAACGAAAGGCCCTTATAGTCCCTACGCTGTACATTTTGAATTGAAATCCCTAAACCAACGCCTAGGCCTACGTTCAATATCCTATGCTGTACATTTGACAATCAATAAATAATCGCCGACTCTTACGGCATGGATAACGAAAAGACATCAATACTCATAACATTCATCCTACGATGAATTATACGAAACATTACAATAAAGTAAGTAATCGTACGGCAATAAGGAAAAAACCATCCTAAGCTCACGGGACGGACCAACCCTTCCTACGGGTGTACGAGACTTCAGCCCGCGAGTGACTACGAGAGACCCATCCTGGTCGGCTGCCCAACCAGTAGAGTTTTCCCGCGACACTACGCGGTTACCTGTGGTCCTCTGAGGCGTACTGCGGTTGTAGGCGTCCATCGCTCACGTACGGTGAGAGTGGTAGCAGAACATCGTGCCCACGTACGGTAATGACAGACCACAGGCGGCACACACGGACGAACCAGGAAGGCTGCCGCTAAGCGGCTACGGTGAAAGGACGTTGGACCGCGGTAGAGAATGCGCGGTCAATCCGGAGTACAGCAGAATAGGCGAACTGCTCGTAGGAATAGGCTGTAGGCGGAGCTACGGCGATCCTTGGCGGGTTTCCGGAAACGTCGATAGAGATCACGCCGGGACCCAGCGTAGAGCGCGACTAGAAACCCCCTTTTGATTAGAGTCGGACGAAAGTCACGACACTGGGGCAGCGAGAGACAGACAGTCGCGGCTACGCCAGGTACTGAGAGTCTCGTGCTTACCTATTGCGTCTACGCACTTAATATACATACATACTAAGTTAACCGAAGGTTGACCTACGGGGCAGACTAAAGGAATTGGTCCGTGGGGTTTTGAAGACTGGCTGGGGGTCTGATGGCTTCCTATAGCTCAAACACAATAATTACATTGTACTTTGAAATGCACATAAAACACGATATAGTCGATGACAGTAATGTTCTTCTTCTCATCTACGGTTACGGCGACGGGACGACGACGGAATGACGGCGACTCGACGTGACGTAAGGAGACGACGACGACTGCGGATTGGCAACGACGTGACGACAGCAACGTGACTTGGTGGCAGTGATGTGACGTGACGACGATGACCAAAAACGACTATGTGGGGTGTTTTACTTGCCTACGGTGTGAGCTTTTTCTCACACGTACGGGATGATTTGGTGTGAGGGAGAGAAATTCGGATTCACTATGCAAAAGTACCCGTGGGACAGTCATGGC